GTTTCTGGGCATACAAGTCGGCTCCTTGGCTCCCTCTCTCCAGGACTATGGGTATGGCATGGCTAGCACAGGAGAGCAGCCCGTTGCCTGATCCTAGCCATGACCTAGGAGGTGAATCAGCAAATGGGAGTTGCCACTGTAACAGCTGCTCAAGCGATGACATTAGTAGGTGCTTTCAGCAAATGCCTTTTTGGGTAGGCTTCAAAGTAAATAACCGCTGCTGCTGGTTATCGTGTTATTACTTTGAACAGGGCTGCCAAGGATTGTGTGCTGCAGAAAAGGTTAGTCTACAGATACCCCCTTACCAAGGTTATTAAGTAATAAAGGAAAAGTGCATGCGTGATTTTGTAACAATCTTTACGTTTTCCCTGCCCCCTATTACAGAAGTGGAGGGCTTTCATCATTAATACCAGTCATCTCATTTGACTTTGGTGCAGGTTTCCTGTGATGACAGCAAAGGGCCGGAGGCTTGTTTGTGGTGAAAGTGAAGATTTTCTGTTTTTAAGAAGTTGTTCCATAAGCAGCGAAATTTGTGAAGCCTGGTCACCTTGCTTTGTGTCCTCCCATCTCCTGTATTTGTCACCTGGCACGCAGCACCATCCTGCCAGCCCCGTCCTCCACAGCCCCCAGGGTTGGTTTGGAGAGCGCTGACAGAGCAGCTGGGTTGATGTTAAGTATATAGGAGCTGAATTCTGGCCCCCTTTCGTCAATGAGGGGCACTAAGTGGTCAGATCACCCGCCTTGATCTAAATGCCAGTTTCCATGAAATCTATTACGTGCCTTCGAGGCTGTTGTCAATGGTGGAGATGCCAAAGATCCACGGTTACTGGAGGGAAGGATGAATGTGACTTCTCAGGTGTCATTCCCATAGGTCAAACTAGACCGTTTGGCTAGGTTACCAAGCTGCTTTTGGAGGGCAATTCACCAAGGCCTAATACCACGGGTAATAAAAACTGGAGAGGAGGGTCAGCAAAAAAAAAACCCCAAAACCAAAAGAAACCCCCACCCAAAGCCCAGGAAGACGGACAGTGCAGTGGAATTCCTTCTTTCGCCAGGGTGACTCTCACCATGTCACCGGTGTACCTGTCCAACATGCTGCGCCACTCAGCCACACAGGGACTGGGCAGCAAGGCTGCGGGGAGCGTGGGTGGTTTGGGAACAAATCCAGGTGAACTGAGGTGCTGCTGAGCTGCCTGCAGAGAACTGGGGGGGGCCGGGGAGTGGGGGAGGATGAGGAGGGAGAAGCAGCGGGTAGAGAGGGAGAGAAACAGAGGGAAGGGTGACGAAAGGCAAGGCTGGCCCCGCTCAGA